AGCACTGCAAACTCTACTCTCCTGCTTAAAACCCTTTTATTTTTCCCTCTCCACCTTCTGGCGGACATTCAGGGCCCTTCAGAATGAGCAAATTACTCTTCTCCTGTCTGAGAAGGTATAGAGAATCTTCCAGCTCACACGCTCCTCCTTCTCTTTTCTGATCCTCGCTGTGGCCTCATTTTTGGCGGCTGAAAGGGTTTCTTGTCTCTCTTATTCCCTACTAGATCCTAAAATCATCTCCAACAACTGTAATAATATGAATACATTTTTTCCCCTTATAAGCCAAAATAAATAAAATAAAAATCGAATAAAGAGAGTCTAACCACAGGACGACAGGACCTTCCTTCCATGTTCAATGCCATATCCTGCTCTAAGGCTAAGTTCAAAGTTAGACTCTTCTTTAATGTTTTCCATGTGCACAAATTATCTGGGCAAGACAAGTGAACTAGCAGATGGAATAGAGCTTGAATTAATACAAAGCTTGGGCAAGTTTAAACGTGTTTAGAGATTAAAACTCTGAATAGAATCTGGTTTGTGGAATTCTTACAGTAAAGATTTGTCAAGCAGCAACATAAAAGGGTAGAATATGGAGGGGTGGGTGTTTTGTTCAGGACTGGGGAGGGTGGGTAGTCAAGTCTCCGAGACTAGTCTAAGATGGAGGAGAAAAAAACACGGGTACTATTTGTCTTCAACTATTGGCTTAGAGATTGACTATATTTGAAACAAAAGCCCTAGTTGAGTTGCCTTCAATTAGGGGACATTTTATGGTTTGGTAGTAGGATAGACAACAGTGGGTAATTGCCTTCAGGGTGAGACTTAAGGAAGAATATGAGGAAGGTTAAGATGGAAATATACGGAGGTGGTGACTGGTAGGAACAGAAGGTACAAGATCAGAAGACAGTGCCAGAGCTTCAAGCCCTTGAAGGAAGTTGGGGCTTGAGAAGGAGACCGGAGGAGGGAGAAAGGACAAAGAGCTGTCTGGGCTGACCTAGATGTGACCCATAAATAAATTATTGTACTTACTTTTGTGTAGTTTTGCCAAATGACCACCTGAGGGCACTCGATCCTCTGCACCTAGAAATCTAATTTTTCCCCCCATTAGGTAAATTATTTATCCTTACCTTGGCTAAAGGATAAACTTAGGTAATGCCTTAAAAAAGGATACTCATGGAAGGAGAGAGCTCAAAGCATTTTTTTCTCACTTATCTCTGTGCTTGAACTAGATTAATGAATGAGCAAGACTGACCTTAATTTTAATCCCTGGGTAATTGCAAGGATTAAATACAATAACCTCATCTAAATCTATTTAGCATTTAGTAGGAACTCAAGAAGTATCAGCTCCCTTCCATGTATATATACACATAATGAAGTACAAATGTGCCAAATATAAGAACACGAAGAAGAACATAAGGGGTCACGGCACCAACCCTTTATCTCTGTAAAGGGGACGGGACTTGAAAGTTCCCAGATGAATGCAGAGCTGGGCTAGGGAAGCATTCCAGAGAGCCAATTTATGCTGCTTCTTTAATCGCATGTTGCTGCTTGTACATAATAACCAGAGGGAACAGAACACAAACAGCTGGGAAATAAAGATGAAAGCAAAACTGTATCAGCAGGGAGAGACATGCAACCTGGTGACAACCCAGCAGTGTCACAAAAGATCATTTGAACAAGGTCACCTGCAAGGAATTTCTCTTCTCAGAGAAAGATCATTACACTCCTGCCCATTTCTGACCGCCTCTATCGGAGTCAAGGTGGAGAATGAAACACAGGATCTCTAGTTTCAAAGTTCTACACCAAAAGCCCTGTCTATATACTGAAACGGAGCCACAGACAAAAGCAGGCATTACTATAAAGGCTAACTGCAGAATTGTACGTGTCTGGAAACAAAGAAATCCACTTCTCCTTGCAAAGGTAGCAGGTTGGGATTTCCCCTCTTCCTGAGGCCCATACAGCATGTTTTGTGGCCTTATGCTGCCCTCTAGTGTTTTTGTAAGGTAGCGTAATGGTGAGGAGAAAAAAGTATTCCCAGTAATCCCAAATTGATCAATAATGTGACTTCATTCTAGGACTGGTAAAACAAAACAAAACAAAAAAGTAAAAATCTAATTCAAAAGCAAACACCAGGATTCATACAACGATTTAAAAGTAAGTTAAATACAGATCTTGCATTATTTCAGGACTTTGTAATACATGGCATGTAGATTGATGAATGCTCTAAAAACAGACACCTGCTGTTCTCTGCAAATTCCTCTCAAATGATCACTACCTCAATTGGTCCAGGTGGGATCAAGAAATCTGCATTTCACAAACGTTACCACAAGATTCTTGTGTAGGTAAGTTGGCTAACCTCCCTTTGAGAAGAACCTGAAATGACCGCAATGACATTGAGCATCATGAAGAATAAAGCTGATAATTTTCTTTAAATTCTTTAAGGGTATAATCTATTGACCTAAAGAGGTCAGCTTCCTGCAGCTCAACCCTACATGACCAGCATGCAAATACTGCTGTTCAAGTCTGAACAGTGGAGAAGTCCTCCTAGATGGATAAGACTCCCAAATTCCTGATTCCAGTAGGCGTCCCACTGGGAAGGAGGATGCTGTTACTCATCCTCTTAAGCATCACTTCCTAAAAAGACTCCCTGGTAAGCTCAATGCCCTGGACAGCAACCTGTCCTTCTGTGTCCCAGAAATGCTCCCTCGATGCCAGTGCTCTCCTGGGGACCGAGAGCTTTTCATGACAGGAACCCTGTCGTTCTCTTCCCAGAGTCAGTGCTCAGTAAAGTCTCATCATCTGGCCAACGCCCACAGCCACACAAACCAAAAGTGGTAGTGAAGGGAGACAGGAGATGTTATGCCCCATGAGCAGGCCCTCTCCCAAGCTCCCTTTAGCTGAGGATACACGTGGCAAGAGATGTCTTCTGGTTATTGTGGTCACTGGATCACACACTCAAAATACAAGCTCACAGACTTGGTTTAACTTTAAGAACTTGCTCTCACTTTTTGGCATGGTTTGATAAATCTGTAAACATTTAGAAACTTCATAAGACTAAAAGGGTAATCATTAGTATATAGCATTTTCTTGTTCATCTGAGAAATTCACATCCAATTTAAATTGTTTTTTTCTAAACGCAGGTGCACTCAGTCAGAGTTCAGTACTTCATATGTTAATATCATATAATACGCTATTTTCAATTCATATATTTAATGTTATTAAAGCTCTTTTAATAAAAATCAACTCTAAGTGTTACTTGGATTTGTATGTATCCCCACCAGAATGAATCCTTGACCACAATGTCCTATTACTGTCACATGTATTTTTTAAAGAACAATATGCAAATTCCTACTTCTCAGGAGACAGTGCCCTAAATATCCCAAGAGACACAACCCGCTGCCTGACCTGGGCTCCCCGAAGTCTCTACGTGCAGATCTGTGTATGCCACGTACCTCAGCAAACTGTGACGGCTTCTTTTCTAGCCATGTCAGCCTCGAGCACTGCATCCCTAGTCCCTAGTGAAGTTCACTAATAGTTACTGAGATCTTGCCTACACACACAGGCCACTGTTTCCCTTTAGCGTTGGTGGCCAGGCCAGTACGCCGAATTTGACAATTTCTCCCTTTCCCTTGACAGTGGCCACTTGAGCCTGCTGTGCAAAACAGTGGTATACGAAAAACAGAAGAAAATGGCACTCCAATCACTTCAGACAGAAAGAAGAAAGAGAAAGAGGCTTGGCCTGTTAAAAGCATTTCCGTTGAATTTCATTTTAGTTTTGGAGCCAAGTTATTAGACTTGTGGGCACAAACAGGATAGCTTTGAAGTTAACAAGGAACCCACTGTGAAAGAAGGGAGACAGCCATTACCACACATTGTGTGTGATGGACACATAAAGTTCCAGAATTGAAAATATATTCTGCAATTACAGAAAGTGAAACACTTTTCTTTCTCCTTTCACCTTATTTAGAAATAGCATTTTTCTCTAGGAAGAGTTCTGTTGAGTTTGCTCCTTACAGTTCCCTAACTCCCCAGTGTATTTACCTCTTGAATCAAAGGAAAAGATCCTGTTGATAAAAAGAGCAACTCTTTCCAAAGAAAACGATGCCTGAGATGATATCTGCAGGACTGTGTAATGCATCACATCAGAGCGAAAGTAGCAATGGTAGGTGTGTGTGTGTCACAACTGGGCTTATGTCTCTCTCTCTCTCTCCTAGCAGCTGTTTTATCCCGGAGCAAGTCATTCAGACCTCGCATTCCCTACATTGAGAATAATATACTGACGATACCTTCTTCAATGATTACTGCAGTGTCAAATGAGACGGGCTATATGAATACATTTGTAGTAAATCACCAAGGCCCATTCAAATAGAAACTTCTGTTATTTCTCCCTACCATTGACAGGTTTCCTAAGCATATTGTCTCATATACTTGATAAATAAAGAATCAATAAGGAAGAGAAACGTCTGTTAAGGCTTTCTTAGCAGCTGGTGAAAGAAGCATTGCCGTGGGTGTGCTGGGAGGTGGGATGGGGTGTAGAATTCACTGTTGGAGATATAGGGTAGTAGGCTGGGCTCAGAAGCCCATTGGTCAGAGGGTCTGACAGTGTCTAGGAACCCTCATCAAGGAAAGAAAACCAATAAGGTCTATGTATATCTGGTTACTTTGACTCCAATTCAATTGAAAACTGTCAGGACCAAAGAAACTTGCAAATGTCTACTTTTCCTTATACTATCAAAACCAATAATATGTATTTCTCACTTTTAAAATTTTAATCACGCATGCTTTCAAAGGTGTTGCATTTTTCGAGCTGCTATTAAAAATACATATGTTCCCTCCACATTAAAGGGGAAGCAGAGACTTGTGTGTTGTATTATTAATTATGTTCTGCAAATGAAATTCCGGTCAGTCTTTGCAGAAGGTGCAAACCACCCCTTAGCAAAGGAATTTCCTCGTGAGAGGAGAGAGAATGGTGTGAAGCTGGTTACTCTGAATTAGTGAGTGCTTACTCTTGAGGTCTAAGTTCCTGGCTCCAGCGGTGATTTGAGTCGTGATTTTTGTGTCAATCTTTACAGTGTGGAGATTGCTGGTGTCCCTTGATATCATCACGTTGTGCCACTGATTGTCATTGAGAGGTTTGTTTGAGCTCCCTTTGATGAGGTTAGCACCATTTCCCAAATCAAACACATAATGTAAGTACCTGGGAAAAAAAGGAAAGAGGAACAGGTGATGTCACCTTTTGAATTTTCAATGAAGTCAAGTTTGATATTACAAATGGAGATTGTTTTTCCAGGGTGTTCCATCCTTACCAGAGGCCATGAGAGTGAGTTACATGGAAGCTCAGCTAATAAGCAGGTAAGAAACACTAATCTCTTTTAGCAAGGAGCTTAGACCTGCTGAGCTCAGGCGATTCTTCCACCAGCCTTCCAAGTTGCTGGAACTACAGGCATGCGCTACCATACCCAGTTATTTTATTATTATTATTATTTATTGTAGAGATGAGGTCTCATCAAGTTGTCCAAGCTGGTCTCGAACTCCTGAGTTCGGGTCATCCTCTCCTTGGCCTCCCAAAGTGCTAGGATTACAGGCATGAGCCACAGCACCCGGCCTATAGCAGGGAGGCTTAACCAATCTCTTCACTATAGGAACTAGTGAAAATTATTTTGAAAATAATGTCTATGTTTTACTTGGTGATTTTGGAAAGGAATATCTTTCCCTTTGCCTTCCTTGTGTCCGCCTCTGCCCATCCTTTGCTAACTACACAGAAATGGCTGTTCTCCCTCTTCTTGCACCTGTTTTCCCTTCCATCTGGAATCCTGTTTGTATATGGAAAAGCGTACTCATCCTTCAAGACTCAGCTTATAAACTCACCTCCTGCCCCACAGGTTTTTTCTAATGACCACAAGGACTCTCCTGATCTTTTGCTCACAATTGCTGCAGGAAGTTTTTCATAATGCCTTTCTGTTAGATGTAGGTGTTCATCTATAGCCACAGGACTGTGTGTTGGGGTGTGTGTGTGTGTGTGTGTGTGTGTGTGTGTGTGTGTTTGTGAGACTTGGGGTTGTTGGAAATCCGAGATGTGCACACAGGTGACAAGGAATATATGTTTGTATCAGTGCCTGGCATACTCTCTAGCCCATTATAAATATGAAATAATATTTGCTGAATGAACGAATGCTTTTATTCATTAAAATACATTACATTTACATTTTCCTCGCAGTTTTAAGGAGATTTTATTAAAAATTTTCTTTCTAAATTTTCCAAGAAACACTGACATAGAATTAAACTCGAGTTAAATAGGATTTTGTGAAATTTAACTAGCCTGATTAATTAGCTAGTTAATTTAGCACAGACTAGTCTACAGACTTGTAGAATTTCTTCTGTGGAATTACATAGTACATAGTCAGGAAGTACATATTTAAAATGTAAGATTCATTAAGTGTGTACCATAAATTAGAACTTGATGTTATTTGTACCTTAGATGTGGAAATGTAGGTACAAAAGACTGTACTGAATCCATATTAAGATACCTAAAAACTGATTTAAACAAATTTATTATTTGTCTAACCCCACCTACCACCCTACAAGCCAATATATTCTGATTAGTGTGAATTTTTGGAAAAGAGGTTGTATTTATTTGCCATTGAGCTGGCATGTACTTACCCTTTAACTAATTCAACCACAATGAAGTCATTTCCATCTCCACTGTTATACAGAATTAGTCCATCTAGGGATGTCGTCTTGAACTGGAAAAAAAGATGCATAGAAGTGTAGGCTTGCAATGTAGCTAAGGCAACATAGCTCGATTTGGTCTTAAAGGTGACAGGGTCTGCTATGATGTTCCTGAAGCCAAATCTGGCATTGAGCTCACAGTAATCTATGTCGCCATTTTTACACAGGTCAATGTATGCCATTCCATTAAACGTCAGGCTTTGCAGGTGTCCAATGAAGTTGGAGGGGACAGAAGACAGATACCGCCGTTCCGTGATGATGCCAGTCTCTATGTTATGGAACTCCAGCCTTGTATGATCCCCTGCCATTTGACCTAAACAAGAAGAAGATAATATTAATATATTATTATTTTCTGTATCTGAAATGCACTTTTAGATTTTCATAACACTACATTTAAAAAAAAAAGAATCAAACTCCTTCTTGATATTAGGTTGCATATGGTCAGAACACTTCAGTAATGTAAGAGAGTAGGGCTTGGTCACCTTAACATTCTCAGTCCAGGTTTTAGTCTATGTTTAAATTTTAGTCTTACAAAAATAATTCTCATTAAAAAAAATTACAGAATTTTTTTAAAGTAAAAAAAGAGAGAAAGGCATTGAGGAAATGACAAGAGGAAAAGAGGGAAGAGTGAAGGAAGGGAAAGAGAGAAAAAAAAGGATGATTAAGGGCAGTGGTTGTTATAAATCATCCCAGTAGAAAGTGATACATACCAGCTTCATGTTTAGGTGATGTTTTTCTTTAAAAATGTTCTTCTAGGGAAAAAAGTGACTATATATTTTTTCCATACCCAATAGAAATAGGGAATCATTTCTGCCAATTTTTTTCAGTAATGAACAATGCAAATGTGTTTGAAGTTAAATACATAATTTTCACATTCCCTTTTCAGTGATGAATAATGCCCACAGTCTTTGTTTGCACTGGTCTCCTAAACATATCAGAAATTCTGTCCATCTCTGGACCTATGCTATTTTTCCTGTCCTTATGTTTTGGATAAGTAACTTGAGCACAACCCACACTAATTCAAGGCATGTCCAATTTTGATAATACTATTAAAATGAGTTCACATTATCACAAAGCATATTCTTCTTTAAACATTCTGGTGTGAAGTTTAGCTGTAGTTTTATTTAGCAATTGACTATTCAACTCAGCCCCCATTTCACTCCATCCTACCATATTTCTCTGTCAAAGTTATTAAAAGACAACCTGATTCCATCTTTATCTCCCAAGTAATCATCGTACCTACTTGCAAGGTTGAAGGTAAAATAAATAAACAAAAGCTGTGGTCTAAATGGTAAATTTAATTTGTTTTATAAATGGTAAATCACAACATAAATATAAGGTACTCTTGTCAGTATCAATGTTACTTCCAGCATTTTGCTCTTGTCTAATTGAATAAATTGTCATCCACTCTCTTCTGCAACACCAAATATTCATTTAAATTGCAACCAAGTTCTTCCAGGTGCTACCTTCCTTGCCCAATTGTCCATAATTGGAAAATTTATTGAGTTTATCTTACGCCATCATCCATATATTAATGAAAATATTAATTAGAACTTATCCAAGATTAAGCCCCTGAGAAAGTATATTGAACCTTCTTCCCAGGTATAATGAAGATTGAATACCCACCTATGAAGATCCTCTTCAACTAGTTTGACAGATTTATATTTCTTTAGTTAAGACAGTAAAATAATTGATGGCATTTTAAGAAAATTTGTATAAATAAAATTTAGGAGGTATGCTTTTTGTTGTGCAAGAAAAACTGTTCATATACCCAGTTAATTGACTTTGATGACAATAAACTTATTTGTGACAAAACTCCCCTGAACTGTACTTAACTCTATTTAATTTTTAAACACTCTTAACTAGTTTTTAAAATCCTGGTAATGACATTTCAATCCTCCTTGGCCTGTGGAAAGCTTAAAAATCACTTGGGCTTTGATACTGCCTTGTGGCAATTTTTAAGTTTTTTGATATAATGAAATCTGAAACTTAACTCAATGAGCCCCACCCCATCCTATAATTGTCATGTTTCTTCTTAAAGGCTCCTTGATGAACAAATTGATAGTAAAAAAAATCCAGAAAAAAAATTCTAATACTTGAAATTAAATATTAACCCCAAATTATCAAGCTCTTGCCAGCTCTAAAAAAGAGAAGACCATTTTTTTTAGCAGGACTAAGATGTTCAATGACAAAAGTACACTTAATATCTGTTTTATTTTCTCAAAGGAATAGAATATGTATGCAGAGCATAAATAATAAAAAGGTAGTAAAACAGCGTTGACCCAACTATGGCCCAGTTATAAGAAAAATGCATTATGATCTGTGTTCAAGAGACCATTCTTTCTTTCATAAGCATACATAAATCACGCAGACAGTAATGGAAGATATACTTGTTCATAGGGGAGAATTAGCAGTTCAAAGCCATTATCCACTATGACCACATTACCTGAGTGCTGCCTTTCAAAAAATTATTTTTCCCTTGGAATTTACTCCATTGTTTAATCCTTATCAGAAATGTATCCACTTCTATGATTGTATATGTATGTTTATTAAATAAGAAAAAATAAATAATTTTGAAGAAGATATAGTTTTAATGTTTTAATATTTTAAAATACACCATCATTCTAGAGCTTTAGTAGAAAGGAGAATTTAGAATTAGCAAAATGCACCTGATCTAGGTGTCTGGGGTATAACAAAACAAAATAATCTCCAACATGACAACCACCACATGTTTCTTGGGTAGTGGATTTGTCTAGAAATCTCAATATCTAAGTCAAATATTTTTACCAAAACAGATGGCAAGATAAAAACCTTTTTAGGAATTGGGTTAAATTTCTGGTGTGTAACAGAATAATTCCAAACCTTACATTCACTTATGAGTTCACTTAAAGTTACAGAGTGTGTGGTATAAGTGTCAGGTGCTACACCAGGTAATGGAGACACTGTGTTGAGAGGAGCAGACAAGGCCCCTGTTTTCACAAAACTCACAGTCTGTCAAGGATGGCAGACCAAAAAAGGTGTGGATGTAATTAAATGTATAACAAAATTCAAAGAAATGCTATCAATTTCATGAATGGAGTTTTGTGTTGGTAAATGTAGAATGGGAGCAGCAGCCTGCTTTGATATTTAAGCTAGAGTTGAAGAATTACAAACAAAAAGTCATGCTAAGAATTGTAGAAGGGAAATCAAGAGGTGGATTCCAAGAAGGGGAGTCAGATGAACAGAGGCTCTTGGGTGAGAAGGCGCTAGAGAGCATGACTGGAGAGCCTGAGCAAGTAAGGCTGGTGGTTCACATGACATTGGAAGAAGAGCCAGATGTCAGCTTTCTCACAGTGCCTCTTGATTAGACAATATTAGGAAATAAGAAGGGCTTTACATAGGCACAAACCATGACTCAATGTGGTGTGTGTGTGTGCGTGCGCGTGCGCGTTTAATCCCTTCATGGGGACAAATAGGTTAGAGATGGTTTGAACTAGAGCAGTTGTAGCAGAAATGAAAAAGAAATGGACAAAATGAGGTAATTGTGCAAATTTACTACAATTTGCAAGATTTACTAATAATGAGTAGAAGGATGGAGAGAAGGGGAATGGTGATGCCTAGATTTCAGGCTTGAGTATCTGGATATATGGTGACTATTGTTCAATAAAGGGCATGCCCACACATATAAAACATACCATTCTAATTTTTTTAGATACAGTAAGTGATAAGTTGAAACCCAATGACTCCCCACTCAGGGATCCACATAGTATGTACCACCCTTTCTCATTTGTGATCTAGGAAATCTCCCCCCATGGGCTATCTCATCACTCTAGGGGAGGGGCAAGCATTCCCGAGAACAGCCTGGGTATGCACTGCCCTGTATTTAAGGGATACTTGAAAACAGAATTACCACAGTTGAAAGATGTAGGAAAATGTAGAACACTGCATGAAGAGGCACAATCCATGTGCTGTAAAATTTAGTAAGAAACTCCAATTGCTGCCAGGCACAGTGGCTCACTACTATAATCCCAGCACTCTGGGAGGCTGAGGTGAGAGGATTGCCTAGGCCCATGAGTTCGAGTCCAGGCTGGGCAACTCGGTGAGACCTCATCTCAACAATAAATCAAAAAAAGAAAAGAAAAGAAACTCCCATTGCTTCTATGATTCATGGGTGGATTCATGTGGTCACCAGGATGTTCGAAAAAAATTTCATTCTAAATGTAAGCCTCGATGGCGAATCCATTGCTATTTTTGGAAACATTTTCCATCTTATGTCAATCAAGTCTGACTTATTCTTATGAATTATTGGCTTTCATGATATCTGACAAAATGGAAGGAAAGAGGATAGCAAGAGGGAAGGCAGGAAAGAAGGAAGGTAGGAAGGAAGAAACGATTTATCTAAGTTATTTATAAACTCAGCATTTGAGTATGTTAAGGCTTATGCACAGAGGAATGGGAAGACTAGTCACAAATTAATTCTGAATTTATTTTAGGTGGTTTATTGATTGTAGTGGTATGGGCAAAATAATTCTGAAACTATTTTAGATGCAATATAGGTTTGAGTAGATGAATAAATGACAATACTGGGAGCCAGGATTCTCATCTTGGAAGAAAAGACATGGTAGTACAGAATGGGGAAAATCAAGAAACAATATTATAGGTATGAAGATGCCAACATGAACTCCTGTTTTGTTTTTTTTTTAATTTAAAGATGTAGGGTCCAACTCAGGATTAGAAACATAAGGGGTCTATGTACAGGTAACACATGTTTTCTAAAATATGTGTATAAATACAATTATGCACATATGTAGTATATATATATCTGTGTACATAGATATATTTACATTCATATGTAGGTGTATATGTATATATTTGAATATATTTCCTAACTTTGTCTTCTGAAAGGGTCAGGTTGCAAAGATAACCCAGTAGCTTGAGCACACCTACTACCCAAATCTTGGGCAGTATAACTTCTCACTAAATTGGAGTTAAATTGGTAATTTCAAGGGTGAAGTACATTAGATAAAAATTGCACCTGGAACATCCTGTTATGCCAGAAAATAAGAAAGTACTAAATAATAAATCAGGGTTGGAGGCATGTCACAAGAATATAGGACCATCTTGATGGAAATCACATGAGCAAAAACTGGGGAAAAATGGTCACCAAAATAATTAGAGTAATGTATAAGTTATTGTAAAAACATAGCAACATATGGGTCCACAACGATAAGACAGAAAGAAAGGAAGGAAGAAAGAAAAGAAGAAAGAATGAAACATGGAAGGGAAGAAGGGAGGGAGAAAGAGAAAAGGAAAAGAAAGAAAACAAAAGAAGGGGAAAGAAGGGAGAGGGAAAGAAGTGAGGGCTCTTGCTTCCAGTAGAATGCTTTGTTGCCTGCAAATGTGGAAGGGATGAAGTTTTAAAAGAATTATTTTGTAACTATTGTAATAAAAACTTAATCAGGCAAAAATCTTTAATAGATGGTAAGTCTAGGGTAAAATATTGATGAGGTACTGAATATTGCATGGTCTTAATGTCTCTTCACAGACAGTTTACTAGTTGCAAGAGAGAAAACATAGTCATTATACGGTGAAAAAACTGGACAACATATTGACCAAGTAGTCGAATTAAATCACCAGTCAAGGACAAGGAGAGCATATGCTTGCAGATGAGATATTATAAAGAAGTCACAAACATCAACAGTGCAGTATTTCATCCAATACTGTAAAACTTAAACTTAGTTATGAGGAAACATCAAACAAGCACAGAGTGAGTGACTTTACATTGACACAAGGTAAGAGAAGGATTATATACTTCAACAATGTCAATGTCAGGAAAGACAAAGAAAGTTTATGGAAATGTTTTTGATTAAAGGAGGCTAAAGAGCCATGACAACCAAATAAAATAGCTGACCTTAGACTGCATACTGTGCCAGAATGGGAAAATGTTTACAGCATCTAGACAAATTGGGTCAACTGACAAAATTAGAATGGAATGGAAAAGCATATTGTATTAATGCAAATTTTACAAAAGTTAGTAACTGACTTTGTTAGGTATAGGATTGTCCCAGTTTCAGAAAATACATGGTGAAGTATTTAGGGATACAGGGACATTGTTTATGTGGCTTACCTCAACTGGTTAAGAAAAAAAATAAATAAGTGAGAAAGTGAGGGAGAAGTGAGAGTGAGATAGAAGAGAGAAAATGCAAATGCCAAAGCAAATAAGATAAAAATGATCACAATAGGAAAGGTATGCCAGTGTTCTCTGTATTATTTTTATTTTTGAAAGTTTTTGTAAGTTTGAAATTTTCACTTTTGTGTGTGTGTAATATCTTTTATTAAGACACCAGGAAGTCTGATGCCTAGAGAACTCCAGTTTAACTAGACAAAAATTAGTCTAGCCCCATCTGCACCATTCTGTTTTGTGTGGAATTCTCTTCCACACACGTTCATCACCTGCATTATCCTTTCCTTAATGCCTAGACCAAATACTGTCCATTGCTTTAAGGTATCCTTGAAACCAAGTTACTCCATCTCTCTTCTAAATTCCAAGACCATAAATTACTTACGTTAACCATCAGTAGTTTAAATACTGCCCTAAATTATCAGTAATCATCTAAGTTTTATATTTGTATGTATTATCTTCATAATATAAAGTTACATCTGGGAAAGCATTTATCATAAAGCCATACACTTATTAGGAAATTGACGAATATAAAGCCGTTGTCTATACATAGGTCAAAAACCAACCAATCAAATAAACTAAACAAACAAACAAAAAGCCTAGAATGTCTCCTCAGTCCTGGCAACAATGGCATTTTAATGAAGCACAAGTCACTTATTCTCTTTGAATCCTTGTTTCCTCATCTTTAAAATGTAAATACATTTGCCCTATATGTACTTTATAAGACTGAGTAGAATATTTGAGAAACACCCAGAGACTGAAGAATGGTCTGCTTATGGTTTTGGCATGTTCTTGCCCTTCACAGCTGTTTCTTCCCAACTCTTACACATGACCTTAGACCCTACTGTTCATTTCTGTACCTTTGGATAAAACTCAGTTTTCCAAACAATGAATGTTAATCTACAAAAACAGTTCATTCCTCTTCAAAGAAATGTCTCTGAACAAAACTGATTGAACTTCAGCTGGCACTCTCCTGCCAAAGCCCTCTAAAAAATCTGCCTTCCTGTCTTTAATTAGAGAATGATTCTTTCAAAATGTAAAGTTCTATACGAGTGTGGGACCCCCCGATGGAATCTTATTCTGAGTGACTTTTTTTTGGTTTCCCCAGATGAGAAAAGTCCTCAAAGGGAAACATTTTGCTGATGTGGAAGAGATGAAACAAAAAACAGCAGAAGTGATGAGTTCAAAAACTGTTTTGAGCAGTGGGAAAAGCATCTTAATAGTTACATCTTCAAGTTATATTGTATTAAACAGAGAGTACTTTGGAGGTGACTGAAGCTTAAACATGCAAGAATAAATACATAATTTTTTATAAATAAATTCCTTTTTAGGGGATCCCCCCTCATACAGGACATCTCCACATTGAGAGAGTTGACTATTCTCTGAGCAAGGGAACCTCCTGGTTGAATGAACAGATACCTCTCCACTGCACAAGAACCATCTTGTGATTTTTACTAGGATAATTAATTTACTAGGAGGTATTCTCTAAAAAAAGAAAAAGAGTCAATATCCCAGATGGGTCATGTGCCTGGAATTCTTTTCAGAGAAGATAAAAACTCAAAGATTCATCTCTCATTTGGCTGTTCTGTGTCTCTAGGGTGAACCTTCATAAGCTCACCTCAGTTAGAAATCTACAGATTGGGGACTGAGCTTGACATTCTTCATATTAGACTTTAACCCACTGAGCTAAATGGGCAAAAATAATCTATTATAGCTTAAAATTAAAAAGTAGTTCCCCTGACAGAACACCAGTATATCTATCCATTTATCTGGAAGCGAAAAAGTAGAACTTGCTGCTGTTCACAGCTAAAATATATAAGAAACAAAGAAACTAAACAAAAACTGACATTCACACAATGACTTCAATATTTGATGAGACACTAAGATATTTATCAGATCACAAAATTAAAATGTATTATAATTTCTTCTTGAATTATTAAAGAACAAATAATAGGATATAAAAAAAATTCCTTTCCAGTGTCATTTGGGAGGAAAAATGCAACTGGCTGCTTATTAAATGAACTTGTTATTAGAAAAATTAAAGTAAAAAATGAACTGTGTGTATAAGCTTTAGGTTGTGCACCAGCTTTGGTTCGAAAAGCCACCTGCAAGAAATGACAAAGTCTAAAGCTTTAGCATAAGAAAAGCCAATGGAGACAAAGGTTTTTACCTGTCATGGCTTGTTGGTCATCCACTGTTAACTTTAAACTTTTTCCTCGCCGAACCACACGCACCGTGTGCCATTCGTTATCATTGAGGTTATAGCCAGCAAAAAGGGTCTCGGGACCTTTGCCTGTAGAATATGCCAAACAGTCATTATGGACACTCAGAATCAGTCAAGCAAATGAACCTCACAGAGAGTGAGAGAAAGAGACAAAGAAAGGGGGAGCAAGGGAGAGAGGAGAGAGAAAAGAGAGAAAGAAATGAGAGGAAGGAGGGAGAGAAAGGAGAGCAAGAAGAGAGACTGGCTGGACCAATTTTCAAGCCCATTAGAGTCATAGCAAGCAAGGAAAATGACAAGTTTACAACATTCAAGTGTGACCATTTAAAAATCTTTCGCCTTATGCATTGATCTAAGACAAGTGAATTAACCTGTTGTCATAAATAGGCACAGTCAATATAGTACTGGGAAGACTCCTAAATTTACACGCACACTTTTTTTAAGGATTTCTCTGATTTTTGGGTTATTTCTTTCTTACTAACCAAGTGTCTAGCAGTAATGTAGTCTCTGACATCCAGAAGACAACTGACCACAGGCCATTAGCCAAGCATTTCCAGTTAGTTCAGCCAGTCTAACTGGTTGGTTATACGCTCTGGTGAGGAGGCTGCTGTTGATATTGTGTGATGGCTGCTTTTCAGCTCTTACATCACATACCTTCAGTGTTCACCGTGTTCTTAGGTTCATTAGCCTCCCAAATTTATGAAACGTTCTGTCTAAGAATAAGTCTAAAAACCTCCTTATAACAAATTGACTTACATCTTGCAAATCTCTTTGTGTATGGTGCAGTCACCTCTGCAGTTTTAACTCATAGTAAGTGGGCCAAAAAAATAGAAGACACACTCAATAAAGGGCCAACTATAGAATGGGAAGATGGGAATGATGTCAAATAACAGGGCAGGTCTTCCCACCCAATGGCCAAAAGAAAGAGAGCAAGAAGCAGAACCAATTGGAGACTCTTTGGTAGTTTCTAGTTAAAGTTACTATAAACCTATTCAACTGGAATTTAAGTAGACTTAGAACAGATATATAGTATCAGAAAGATGTTTGGTAGAAATTTCTGAACTGACAAAGTCCATACCCCCTTCAACATAAAAACAAAACAAGGAAAAATGGTTTTAACATAACTGGAAATGTCTATTAAGAATAATTATTTCTAGCAATCTGACATAATGATTCATAGAGAAAAAATAGTGTTAAAGATACATTATTTGGTGATAGATTTTTTCCTTTTTAAATACTATAACATTCTGGTGCATTAAATAATGAAGGGCATGGCATCATTGAGTTCTGTGACTTTCAACTGACTGAGGATCAGGAATGGCGTTTACAATTTTTTTAACCAAATTCTACCAGCAAAACCAGTTGATGCCCAAGGATTACAGGAGATTGTATGGGAAGGCAAAGATATAGACCAGAGAAAAGGGGAAAGGAAAGAGGAAAAAGCAAAAAATAAATAAGGAAACCACAAAGAAGAAACTTCAGTAGTCCATTCACATGAGATCATTGTTTGTGTTTAGAACCACAGGCTACCTAACCAGCCCCTTGACTTCTCTCTTATGGTGTTACTGATGGTTCAAATTCTTGATCTTTGGTTGATGAGTCTCAGGCTTAAAATGAGACAGTGACAGAAGCTAAATTGTATAGGATTAATTCCCCCAGTTATTTAAACAATACTAACCATCACTAAGATTAGAGATAATCTCTTATTATTTCTATAGAAATGTTAAATTACAAATCCAGATATATGAATTAAAAACTATTATAGATATAACCATTTTGAGAGATTGATCAACAAATAACTAGAGAAAGCCTATAGTTCAGCAACTGCAAAAATACTTTGTGACCAAATGTTGAAAGTAAGTTCCAGGATCAAAGAAACTCTTTCTAGATTCAATAGTGAAGAATGAAGTGTTTAATAACTCTGCAGCATCTTGGCATCCTACTGGCAGCAAGGGTCATCCTTGGTTTTGATCTTTGAAAATAGAATATATCATTGTAGAGCTATTTTTATAGGGGAGATCTTTTTTTCTTAGAAATATGTGCTTTTGAAGCAGCTTCACTCCTATTCTTTTCATTTTTTAAATGTATTTTGTCAAGGAAAAGAAGCATAAGGGTGATATCATCATTATACCCCATCCTGGGCTTGGTCTTGCAGTAAAGTCATAATGCTTAATCTATGTAACAACTATTTCCATAACAACAGGCACAAAATCCAATTAAAAATAACCCTTTGGTTCATGAAAATCTCTGTGGGCCAACTTCCAGCTCCTTTCTTGCATTATTAAAAATGTGAACAGATTGATTTTGGAAGACAAGGTTTTTAAAAATGCACTTAATAGTTTCAGTTCAAAACAACATTACCCATGCAACATGAAGTGTAATAGAAAGTGCACTAGACTGTGAGCTAAGAATTGTTGTAGCTAGTCCTCGATTTGCTACTAAAAAAGAAGTTTGGGGATGGTGAGTGCTTATTATGTCCCAAGCACTTAGCTATCTTGCTTCATCTTTACATTATTATGAATTTGCAGATGTGGACCTGAAGTTCTAGAAAGCTAAACTTACTTGTACCAAGGTCACACAGCAAAAAAGTGGTAGAGACCAGTTCCATCCGAGGCCTGACCTATTCAAAGCCTGCATGTTTTTCCCTATATTATTCAGCCTGCTAACTCTGAGACCCTCTGGCTAGTAACTTAACTTCTCAGCTTCCCCATATCTACTCAAAGGAGGTGGAAAAGATGTTCTTTGTGATGACTTCCAGCTGGCCCTACGGAATGATCACATTGCTAAAAATATCCTACATATCCTCTACATAAATCCTGGTGGAAGAAAATCTCTAAAAAATGCAGCCTCTGCCTAGGAATGCTGAAATGGCTACTGTTAAAAACGTAATATAGAAGGGTCATCCATTTAGGACCTGTCTCTATTCATAATCATCAATTTGCTAAAACATTTAACTTCTGGTAGTCTCAATATCCCCATTATAAAGTGAGGAGATAGTCTAGCTGATTTCTATACTTCCTTTACATTTCACATTCTCACAGAAATTTGAGATATGTGAAAGTGTTAAGAAAAAGATGGTTTAACTGTTGACATTTTGAGTGAGAGCATTTGTCCTCTTGCCAAAATTTTAATGGTAAAATTGTAGTCACTGCAAGCTGTTTCCTGAATTGACCTGAATTCCTTTGGGGATTTCCTTTTCTCGTGGCGATATCAAAACATGTCTCAATTGTGCTAACATCTTTCTCCTAGCATAAATGTGAGTGACTCCCAAAATTCATATGTTGAATTTCTAACCTCCAATGTGATGGTATTAGGAGATAGGGCCTTTGAGAGGTAATTAGGTTCAGATGAGGGTGGAGCCCCATGATGGGCACCCCTATAGGAAGAGGAACAAACACCAGTTTCCTCGTTGCCATGTAAGAATATACAGAGAGGCCCTCATCATAAAATACATCTGCTGACATCTTAGCCTCAGAATTCCCAGTCTTTAAGAAACTGTGAAGATTGAGACCAGAAAAAAGTCCCTGTTATTTAAACCACTTACTCTATGATATTTTGTCATAACAGCCCATGCAGACTAAGACAGCATATTTTAAAGATTTTTAGGAGTTCATAACATTATTTCTATTTTAAAGACATAATTCCATATGTTTTGTGGGGAGTTATGATTTATATGTAACTTTACACTTGATTTTTTTTACTGTAAACTATTATTTAAGTCATTGAGGTTTTATTTTTTCATTTCATACTTAGGAAAGCAGATTTAGAAAGGCTGAGTGAATTATTGAGTCTCAGAGGCAGTAAGTAGAGTAAAGACTGAAATTTTGAGAGCTTCCATCTCCATTAAAACATCCATTCCACAGAAAATGATCTGCAGGGCATACAAAAGAGGTGCAATGAGCTGAATGCTCACAGCTAATATATTACCAGACTGGGTCAGAATTCAGCCCTATAGACTAATGCTATTTTTTAAAAAATTTAAAACTAGAAGGGACATGAGAGCTGTAGAAGTTCACCGAGTCATCTATAAACAAAGAATGCGAGGTCCAAAGAAATTAAATTACATCCCCATGGTCATAACTATTTAATTGAGGAATCTAGTTCTCTGTCAGTCTAGAACACTTTTTAAAAAAGTATTCTGCCCATTATATTATGCTGCTCCAGAGTGAACTCTCAAGAGACACCAAAACCTGAGTCTGATCTGGTCATTTATGGCTACTTGCTCTGCACCAAAGGTGAAACCAAGCAAGAATAAATACAATTTAGCTACAGTGACAGTTTAACCTAAGCTATGTTATAACTGTTTCCTTGTCAGGTGATATTCACTGGTTTTGCTGGTGACTCTATACTAAAATGTATTGATGACAGATGAAGGTAGAAACAATAAACATTTCAATTTTCCTTAATTCAGTTCAAATTGATGTTCTTTTACAACCTATCCTTCCATTAAATCAAGGTGTCTCTAAGATTAACTCCTAAGAAGGCTGGAATTAACCCCAACTTGAGACATGGTACAGACAGAGGGAGGTGTGTGTGTGTGTGTGTGTGTGTGTGTGTGTGTGTGTGTGTGTGTGTGTGTGTGTGTATGAGAGAGAGAGAGAGAGAGAGAGAGAAAGAGAAGAAATACACTTTCTATTTAAAAGATGGTAGCTTTTGGGGGGCCATATTAGTAACTATATTTGCTAATTACTTTTTAATCTTTCTTTTCACATCAATGTAAATCTTAGGTCTTTTTAAGTATTAGCCTCAAAACAAAAGAAATATAATAGGATCGCTTGTAGTTAGTTGTTCACTATGGGAGGAATTAGTGGAGAAGACTGGATTTTATCCCTAGTCTGCCGTTAGTTAACTTAGCAAGACAATGATTTTTCCTGTTCCTATTTTTATCTATAAAATGATGCTGCTGGATAAAAGCATATAAAAAGTACTCTTTTATAGTCAACTCTAAAATTCTGTCATTCTTGGAAGGACCAGAACCACCTTGTGGCTACATCAAAGAGTACAATATTATAGTGAAATTCTGTAAATGAATGAGATTTTAATGCTTATCATTATTAATTTCAACATTTTTG